GTATGCCATGTAATTACCATAAAAAACAATTTCCTTTTTTTGTTGTTTTTCCTTTGATGGATTTGGGTAGGGGGAGGTGCAAGTTGCACAAATTATGGTTTCGTCTTTATGATTTTCTTTTTTACTGGATTTACTCCTGGTTGCTATTCCTCTAATGACCTGATGGATGTAAACCTTTAACTTCTATCATAGCAACAAAATTGGCATACGATCTATTTAGCTGACTAATAACTACTATGCCATGTTTATATCTTCTTTACCCTTGTTAAAATCACATTCTCTTATGATAGAGAGAATGTTTCCATTTCTGTGATCTATATGTCATATCATACTATACTTGAGCAGTGCTTCTGTTGCTGCAGATGGGCATTATCAATAGCCATTGCCAATTGATTGATCCAGAGGGCATACGTGCAGAACTGATGCATCTGAAGTCTTTGAATGTTGATGGAGTTATCGTTGACTGTTGGTGGGGGATAGTGGAAGCCTGGATTCCTCACAAATACGAGTGGTCTGGTTACAGGGACCTTTTCGGTATCATTAAAGAGTTCAAGCTAAAAGTTCAGGTTAGGCATGTTATCATGGTTGTCGACTTCTTGGATACAAATATTCAGAGACATTTTTGGGATGTTAGTAATCACATATTTGCTACTTATCATATTTATTTAATATTGTGCACAATAGCCATTACGTGAATGTGAATTATAGTATGTTGTGGACAGTGATTTCTATAGATATTGAGGCACTAAATAGAATGTCTATGCAGAAGACATCCATACCAGTCAGAAACTCAGAATTGGATTTTTCATTTTCGAAATATTATATGATTAAGTTTTGTGCATAACTTGCCAGCATCTTGTAACAGTGTGAAATATTCAACTTAGATGAGCTTTTCCTTTTTACCATTTTTATCACAATTTATCTTAGCGAGTTTCCTTCAATAAACTTCTCAAGGCTGTATTGTCATTCCATGGGTCTGGGGAGACTGGATCTGGTGGTGTGTCTCTCCCAAAGTGGGTCATGGAAATTGCACAAGAGAACCAGGATGTATTTTTTACTGATCGTGAAGGTAGGAGAAATATGGAATGTCTTTCCTGGGGAATTGACAAAGAGCGAGTCCTTCGCGGGAGAACTGGCATCGAGGTATTGGGTCATCCTTGGTAAATTTTCTTCTCTCTTGCTTAAACTTACCTTTAGCTTCTGTGTCTATTACAAGATATAGAAATTGTTAGTTTCCTTAGATGAGCACTATTTATTTATGCCTAGTGTTGTTTTTAGTGCATTTAATTGTCCGTCCATCTTTATGCACTGTGCTAATTGTAGTATATATTGCAGATCATAATGTTAGAGTCTTGGTATTGAAAACATAGAACATGTATGCTATCTTCTTTAATATTGTTTCATATTGCACCCTGATTGATGAGAACTAGTATTCTGATACTTAATGGGATTATATGCAGGCGTATTTTGATTTCATGAGGAGCTTTCATATGGAATTCAGAAACCTGACCGAAGAGGGCCTTATTTCTGCTATCGAAATTGGATTGGGTGTTTCTGGAGAGCTAAAATACCCTTCATGTCCAGAAAGAATGGGCTGGAGATATCCTGGTATTGGTGAGTTTCAGGTATTTACTTAAAATTCAAACTTGTATCAAGATAGGGATAAATAAGGCATTTTTCTTCACAGTCCTTTCCACTAGATTAATTTAAATATGATAGAATTACAATCATGCACTGTTTTTCATTTAAATATGTAGAATCATGAGTACTCAAAAGCATGTCACTGCTTGTTCATATTTGTAGGTTATATACTGCCTGGGCTTTTGGATTACAATACATATCTGAGTTGTATGCTACATCTATGATGCATAATGCTAGCTTGCATAAAATTTTCAACATTGCGGAATTGCCTAAAAATATACTGGATGCATTTCTTTTCTTTTATTGATTTGCATTGTCGACAGTGTTACGACAGGTATATGCAAAAGAACCTTAGACAAGCAGCATTGTCACGGGGACATCTGTTTTGGGCCCGTGGACCTGATAATGCGGGCTATTATAATTCAAGACCTCATGAAACTGGCTTTTTTTGTGACGGAGGTGACTATGACAGCTACTATGGACGCTTTTTCCTTAACTGGTATTCTGGAATCCTCATAGATCATGTGGACCAGGTGCTATCACTTGCTACTCTTGCATTTGATGGAGTCGAAACTGTTGTGAAGGTATGCACTGTTGTTCTGTAAAGTTTTATTTTAACATTGCACCGGATCTTCTCTAAGTTCTTTAGAGAACTTCTGCATATATCCCATGTTATTTTCCTTTTGCCTAGCTATTTATCAATATTACGGTTTGATAAACTGAGCACAAAATGGGTATTCCTCTTAAACTAGGCACCAAAAAAATCAATATTTCTTGTCTTATGCATAAAAAGAACTTCAATCTTAGTATGGATTGTGCTCTTGTACCCAAAGCAGCGGAAGATTACTCAAAACCTTATACATAGTTGATTGATTGAAAATCATTACCTGCAGCCCAGATCTAGACAGTTTGGTTGTAAGTCTATTTGCTACTGGATAATATATCACTCTGTTATTAATAATAGGAAATTAAGGTCCTATGCTCTGATGAATCTGAATTTGAGGATCATATGAGCTTGCAAAATTATGTTAGCATGTGTTAACCAGATCATTTACCTGCTAGCACAAAACATTCACATAATGGATGTAGAATGTGCTGCAGTGAGAAGTCCATGGCAGTTCCACATATTTTGCAACCTTTGCCTGCCTGTTTGTCTATTCCATGACAAAATAATTTCTTTCAGATTCCATCTATCTATTGGTGGTATAGAACTGCAAGCCATGCTGCGGAACTTACGGCAGGATTCTACAACCCTACAAATAGAGATGGATACTCTCCAGTGTTCAGAATGCTCAAGAAGCATTCCGTAATTCTAAAGTTTGTTTGTTATGGACCAGAATTTACAATTCAAGAGAATAATGAAGCATTTGCTGATCCAGAAGGTTTAACATGGCAGGTGAGAAGCTCGAGCTAAAAATCCTTTTCAGATCTGTCTGCATTTTTTTTGTACCTTTTGCTCCCTTGGGTTAATTCGGTACACATGAAGCAGGTTATGAATGCAGCATGGGATCATGGATTATCTATAAGTGTAGAGAGTGCTCTTCCATGTCTTGATGGTGAGATGTACTCACAGATCCTTGACACAGCGAAGCCTAGGCATGATCCTGACCGTCACCATGTCTCGTTCTTTGCATACCGTCAGCTACCCTCATTCCTTTTGCAGAGAGACGTTTGCTTCTCAGAGCTTGGCAACTTTGTCAAGTGTATGCACGGTTAGTATTACCATGCTTGTCACTTCTGGATACTCCTGAATACATACTTTACCATGTTTTTTTTCCTCTTTTGAGAAAAACTAGCTATCTTACCGGCAAACCGTCCTTCATATAACCATGCGGTCTATCCAAGACTTGATGTAGTCTTAGCATTCTATTTAATTTGAGCTAGATTGTTAATTCTTCCATCCGCATTGTGAATGAAGATAAACTGCGTGTAGAAAAATGCAAACTAATTGCCTTTAACATAGATTGTTTTTGCATCTTCCATGATATTACCCCGCAAAGGGTATCTCTCCGCTCTTCGTCCCTTCCTGTGGAGATGCTGAATTCGTAACATAACCGGGTAAAAATGATTTTATTTACAGGGGAGGCTACCCAGATTGTGGAAGGTTGAATTCCCTAGTTGCATTATATGCACATAGGTTTTGAAACAAGATTAAAGAAAGGAGCTTGGTTTGGACCCCAGAAACCGTCGATGCCCGCGGCGAAATCTGCTGCGCGATTGTTGTAAAGCTTCTGTTGTGGGTTTTGGAGGTGGTAAGTACGGCTCAAGGCAGGATAATAATAGCTTAGCAACTCTTTTTTTTTTCCGTGGAATGGTATGAATTTAACATCAGAGAAAATGACGTGCTGTACATTGTATACAACCATATAGAATAGAAATATTGTCCTTATTTAGGTCACAAATGTTAATCCCTTTCTGGGATGTAATTTTCTGATGGTTCTGTGTGAAATACCCGCGGAATTTTGGAATTGGTCTGTTCAATAGGGGCCTGAACTGGACCTAGTTTGAAACACAGGTGTTCCTAACCTCCCTCCCTCGTTTTCGGCGTGCAGGCTTTTCAAACTGCTAAACGGTGTATTTTTTATAAAAAAAAATTCTATATGAAAGTTGCTTTAAAAAATCATATTAATCTATTTTTTAAAAAAAAATAGCAAATACTTAATTAATCATACAATAATAGGTGCTTTGTTTTGCGGGGAGGAGGGCTCCCGAACACAGCATTAACCTAGTATTTTAGTTTTAGCCCATTGAGGCCCAACTGTAGAGCCCAGACCACTCGCCTGCCTCAGTTCATGGCTCATCTCTACCAATTTCTGGTGGGCCAAAGGTAGGCCGTTTATGGTGAGCCAAATGGAGGCCCACATTTGCGCGGAGAAACGAACCGTCGGCAACCACGCAGTTGGGCTCGGCCCGTCTCAGCGATCGGTTGGTGGGCCCAAAATGCGGCCCAGTTTTATTCGGTGGGATCGTGGGAAAAGGGCCCGAAATCCCGATGCGGCCCGCGTGTTTGGAATCGGTTCGGAATTTTTCAAACAGGTCCCTGATCTTAGGATTGCTATAATTGGTGTTTGGTACTAATGATCCTCATTTTTTTTCAGATGGATCCCTGATTAAGATCGTTGTTAGAGTACGCACCATTATTGCTCATCAATCCGGATCCTCTGCATTGGACGTTCTAATGCAGAGGTTGACAGTACTGTGTATTAGAGGAGTTAGCACCTATCCGATCAAGATCATAAGGTCCCGATATCTTACTACAGTAATTGCACTGTAGTAGTGCATTACCATATTTTTGTTACTGTGATTTTTACCACTATATTGATGGAGAGGATCCGCATCCCTCATAAATGGAATCCTCATCCATTACTCGTTATTTATTCCATAAAAAAAATCAACCTGTAAAATCATATGATAACAAATATATACAAGACTTTGTTCAAATTCATTGTTTTAGGATATAATATCACAACCATATGAGTTTTTTTTACCGAGAGATTACTTCATTAGCCACTTATTTCAAATATGACCCTTAATTTTACATATAGATCCCTAATTATTATCAAGATTATTGCAGACAGGTCGCCCACCGAGGTTGATAGTGTGAGAGACATGGCCCCACTTGGCTCGCGCTCGCCGCCGATGAGCTCGCCATGGCGCGCCGCATCAGACCTCGGAGGCGGCTCGCACGCGCCGCTCCGTCTCCTCCTACCACCACCTCGTCGTCGTCGCCCTCCTCCGCCGTCTCTCCGCTTCCCCCCGCCAAAATCCACCGAATCCCATAGGCGGCAGCCGGGACTGGACGATTTGAGCCGAATGCGCTCGAGGTGACGCCCCCCACACCCTTCCCCGATCCCCTCTCCTGCTCCATGGTTGCTTCGACCAGATTCGAGATTACCTTACCCATGATTAGCGTTGATGATTTGCTGCTGCAGTTGTTTCAAATGGTGACGAAAAAAAAAAAGATGATGAGCACATGATTGGAATCTCGTCCGTGGTTCAGCTGATCAGTTCCTTCCATATATTTGGGGGAAATGTGTTTTTTTATCGCTGAAATGTGGTAAGAAATCAATCATGAACTGCTTTATTTATCTTTTTTTTTTTTGAAATTATAGCTGCAATTTGAACTTGTGCTCTTTTTTGAAATTATCTCAGGTGTTTATTGCTCCCTTCCCTCACCTGCAAATAATAAATTGGTTGAAAGAGAAGAGTTCAGAATTGCAAATGGAATTAGGTTGAACCGTCACTTTCCTGTAATTTAATTTGTACGGTGTACTTATACATTAAGATGTTGCCAAAATGTGACAATTGCGTAGGGAAGATGTTGACAAGAACATGGCGGCTTGGCTATACGAAGATGCTGACTACTTTGTTCATAGTTTAGTCATCCGCAACGTGAATCAGGCCTGCGAATCTGAGACTTGTTTAACTCAAACTCCTCCAGATTCGCTGTATTAGAACCGTTGAATTGAATCAAAATAATACTATGTACCAAAGCTTATTCTTTTTTATGTCTTTTCAGTGCTAAACTAGGTTGTAGTGGAGTAGTAGGATGCCATTGAAATTTAGATTATTGGGAGAGTATAATGCCCTTTTACTCGTCATTTGTTTTCTGAACTTCTGGTACCAATCCTGATTTGTGAGGGTAAAATTGGATTACCAAACATCTCCTGGGTTTAGATGGTTACTGATTGTGAGCAACTCCATTAGAATTTGGTAGCTTCTTATTTCAAAGTGAGGAGATTGAATGATTGATTGCGGTAACAACTTCTTGTTTCTCGCCAGGCGAGGAGCCGATCTGAAAGGAATATGAAGTAGCCAATGATGATCTCTATGAGTATATCCTTTCTTCAGATTAAGTATGTATAATGCCATTGAAATGCTTAGCATGACACTTGAGATTAAGTACTCTACAGGCTACAGCATTGAAGCGATTAGCATATACCACTTCTTCAGATCAAGCATACACCATTGAAATGCTTAGCATGTCACTTGGGACTCGGATACAACATGGGAATGCTTAGCTTGCCACTTCTTCAGATTAAGTACACACCATTGAAATTCTTAGCATGTCACTTCACATAACCATAAGAAACATGAAAACCGGAGTACATACACAATCATAGCAAGAAACATGAAAATACTGGAGTACATGTAACTTTGCACGGGTCCGAAAAGGCAGCAGAAACACATGCAGCAGAGATGACTGGGCTGCACCTCCTGCACAGCTGCACTGCCAGAACGGACACACTATCCATCACTGCGCCGGGACAGAAGAACAGCACGCAATCTCTCAAGATAATTTCCCAGAGAGACGCACCCCCCACACCCAACCCAACCTTGCAGAAGATTCCCAATTCCACCAGAGAAGTTGCAGCTCCCCTCTCTCTGCATGAATGAATGAATGAATGAATTGGAGAGCAGCAGCAGCAGCAGCAGCAGGGCCAAAGGAGAATGGGACCATTGCCTGACCAACACCAGCAGCAGCAGCAGCTCAGGCTTTTCATGTGCTGGAGCCTGCCTGGAACAGCACAAGCGACAGCAGCTACCATCAACCAGCTCCATCACAGGAGCCCACCATGTTTTTGATCTGCCACACAAATCACTCAAAGATCAAAGTACCCTGCATCCTCCCCAGTATTCCAATCCAGCTGATCTGTGTGTGATCTTGTACACTGGTACTATCCCCCAGAATAATTCAACTGTAAACCACACAGTTGGCACATGAAATAGTAGATGCGAAATCGACGGCTTGCCGATCCCAATACCATGTGACAATAACATATTCTTCTTTATGTTTGGACAAAAGAAAAACACTATATATGTAGTACTGCTCAACCATGTTAGTATCATCATACAGTGATGGAACTAGAATAGTTTACCACCTCCATGTTTGATCATGGTACAGGTACGGAGCTAAAATATTTTACTGCCACCATGTTAGAACATGATTAGAAACAAAATACTACAGTATATATTGTACAACCACCACACCAACTTGACCTTATTGCATGCACTAAATACTGGAATTTTATCAGGCTCTGCTCATCCATTCAAATCTATCTCCGGGGTGGTGGTCAGATATTTATATTCTTCGACAGCTTTTCAGAACATGTTCTCCTGAAGGCTGTCACTGGCTTTTAGCAGAATATTCTAACCACTAAAAATTTACACCTCACTGATCAGGGCATCCAGCTCAAAATGTAGGGAATCCACTTTTCATGGAACAAGTTCAAATGTCCAGCTAGTGCCAATCGGCTACTTTGTCTCTTCCTTATCTATCTCTGATGGAAAAAGAATCTTGATCTCGCAGCATATATTCCCACAACAGGTTACAGGTTTTCTTTTTTTTTCTTTTTATAAACAAAAGGAACCCAATTCCAACTTTGGTTATGAGTCACCGAATGTGATATGCGTCAAATCATAGGAACGGTGAATGCGATGCTTCTTGGAGACTTTGAATATTTGTACAGTGAGAAAAGTGTCTTGCCTGTGAAAATGATATGATTGATAAAAAGAAGTCCAGCATCTTACCAAAATTATGGATGAATTATGCATAAATAGCACTCTGCACTGTTACTATAAATCCTGAAGCAATACTTGAAACCAGGAATTTTTACTTCCATAACTTCCATTTTAAGCAGTATAAAGAGGAGCATGCGAATTGTTAGACAACAAATAAAGCTGAATAGAAACCATTGTTAGTTTATGGTGAAAGCTGGATCTATCAAGATACCCACAAAACTAGACCAATCAATGGCCTGACATTTGAACTAAGACTAGGTCTTGTTTAATTTATCAATGATTTGTACTGTGTTTACTATTTCAGGCAGCGCAGCCAGCATCAATCCAGAGGAAAAGCACATCCCTACAAATAGATACATATGCAAATATACTAGTACTAGCATGGATGCAAAACCGTTGAGCATCAAAGAAGCCCATTGGTTCAAAGTTGTACACTGTGAAGGAATTTAAAATTATCTCCAGAACAAGATTAATGCATTTTGGCCCGGCAAAACAGATCGATGCTTTTTTTTCAAAAGGAAAGCCAGCTGCTTTTTGATGTAGTAAATCTATCTTCCCGCCGTTGAATCAATCCATGAATTAAATACTTCGACAGGCCATTAAAGAAAAGAGTTAAACCTGTAAACTTAAGAAAGTAAGTTTGAAAGTTTACCTCAAAACAATTTACAATTACAACATAAATTGAATTAGTCATTTTCATAACATCGATAAACTAGAGACAAGTAGTTTTATTGCACTATTAATTAAATTACTCAGCTATATAGCACAATAATTCACTTACCTAGGTCAGTAGATAAACTAGATAAGTCCCAAAGTTGTTTGAAACACTAAGTCTTTTTTCGCATCACTAATTATCTCCGGTCTATTAGCTTTATCCTCGGAATTAGATCTTAAAATACGAGAAAGGCAAACTTGCAACTAGTAACCTGTTTGTTTGACCATGGCTAAGGTCTATATTAGCGATAAGCATATGCCTCTGTTAGGCCAAAAGGGCATGTAGAAACTTGTAGCCACACACAGCCTCTAACAAATAGCATGCATTTAGAATCAAAGTTCTTAATTTCCACAACTGAACAGAGCAAGGGCAAGGCCACACCTTATTGGTGGCACTACCAGAATTAGCATATGCCATGAAGACCACTATGCAGACTACAGCAGATGTGCTAAATTAAGCATATACAGGATTCAGCATGAACTCATGGTCACAGATCATTATACCAAAATGAATTCACCATAATTTCAACCTTCATCTTAATTAGCAACCATGATAGACCCGTACTAGCAGTGGTAGATTCAGATTAACAACATCCATATCAATAAATGATACCCACAGTTCAATCAAAGCATAGATCGCAAATAAACCTCATCTACCCAAAAAGACAATGAGATTCAGATCTTTTTCCCGCTAATTCTAGGTGGCCTCCCCTGAAACCATACTCCTGATACTGATACGAGTACCAAACTCAGGATAGCCACCAAAAATTAGGGGAAATTCCAACTTGATAACGCCGACACGAATCATAGATAGAATAAGTAATCGAGAATTAGGCACCAGATCTAGATCTGAAAAAAAAATTAAATCTAATACAAACGCGTACGCCCCACACCTACGAACACGAACACGAGGAGGATCAGCAATTCGATCCGATTCATCGCTAACCCCGTCCCGATACCGACCCAGAAACGAAGGAGAGACAATAAAAACAACCAAGCAGCGCAGCATCGGCGGCGGATCGGCGGAAGGAGGGCGCTACGCCGGCTCCGATTCACTTGGTGCAAGGCGGGATCCGGCCCCGGCAGCGGCGGCGGCGGGTCCCGATCTGCACCAAGCGAGCCCGAGGCGGCGGCGCCATGAGACGAGACGAGACGCGCGGTGTCTCTCTCGAGAGGGAGACGAGGTGGTGGAGGAGACGTGGCTGCTACGGCGACCGCGTCTTCCTCGCGGTGGCGGTGGCGGTGGAGGTGGAGATGAGGAGGAGATGGGGATTTTATAGCAGGGGGGGGGGGGGGAGGTTGGGAGCGTGGTTAGGGATTGATGCGTGAGGGAGGGAGGCGATGAGGAGGTGGGCCCCCACTAGAAAAAAAAAGAGGACGTGTTTAGTTCCTTCGCATTTTTTTTAAAAACATACTAACACATTTAAAATATTAAACGTAGACTAATAATAAAATAAATTACAGATTCTGCCAACAAACTGTGAGAAAAATTTATTAAGCCTAATTAATCCGTTATTAGCAAATGTTTACTATAGCATCACATTGTCAAATCATAGCGCAATTAGGCTCAAAAGATTCGTCTCGCAATTTACATGCAAACTGTGCAACTGGTTTTTTTCGTCCACATTTAATGCTCTATGTATGTGTTCAAATATTTGATGTGACATTTTTTGCTAAAAAATTTTTGGATCTAAGGGTGTGTTTAGTTCACGCCAAAATTGGAAGTTTAGTTGAAATTGGAACGATGTGACGGAAAAGTTGGAAGTTTATGTGCGTAGGAAAGTTTTGATGTGATAGAAAAGTTGAAAATTTGAAGAAAAAGTTGAGAACTAAACCAGGCCTAAACACACCACTGTGTGTTGTGTGCGCCCGCGGCGGCAGCGTCTTTTCTACCGCACCGTCTTGTTGTGGTAGAATACTGGTTTTTAGCTCTTACTCTATCAAGTTTAATAAATACTAGTGGAGTATAAAATAAATTGAATTTTCAAATTCTTAGAAACATTATTCGGGTTTTATCGGTTTTCTTACATCAAACTAGGGAATAAGACCACAACACCCTGTCACCCTTCCTCGTTCCTTCACTCTTTGCCTCATCATCACCATAGTGATTTTTTTTGTCGGTGTTCTTTCCTCTCTCTTTTTTCTTACTTTTCCAAGGCTTTGTACTTTCTCCCACACTCCCGTTTCGTTTCAAAATATATACATGATGATGTGTATCTTGATAGTACGAATTCCTATTATTTAGACTTGTAGCATTAGGGTATATCTCATCTAGTATTATGTGGTTGTATTTTAGGATGAAAAAACAAATTTTGCTTCAAGTCTTTTCAATTACTTATTTTATCTTTTTATATTTTATTTATATATATTTGTTTTACAATTGTCAGGTACTCCCTCCGTTTCAGGTCCCCATCGTTTGGCTTATTTCCTAATAAGCTAAAACGGCTTATTAGGAAATAAAAATGAATTTGTAGGTGAAACTTTTATAAATGTGTTATTGGTGACTTAAAAGCCAATGTTGTAAAAGAAACCACGTTGAAAATATCTCAAAATTAAGTTTAAAAATTCAAATTTTGGCTTTTTCTTTGGCTTATTAGGTCATCCGATGGAAGCCTAATGTGATTGTGAGAAATGTTAGAATGACTTACATTGTAAAATGGAGGAAGTAGTAAAGAAGAAGATGATCTAACATAGGTCCGTCAGTAGCATGTTGTTCATTACTCGAATAAGGTGATGGTGATGTGTCCATGAGAAGATATGCTCGAATAAAAATGGGCTAACGGCGTCATAGCAAAGAATATTGGAATGGTCGTATGGCGATTGTCATAATCACATCAGTTAGGGCTCCTTTTAAACACATATGGAAAAAAAGAATAATTATAAAAAAATGGAAAAAGGATGTCAGGCCATACGAAATCATGCATGAATTGAAAACACACATGAATTTATCCTATTGGTGGTCCGGATGTTCCAGAAGAAATCCACATCAATTTTAGAGAAAAAAAAATATCATTGAAGTAAAGTTAAGGGGAGAGGGAGATGGAGAGATGTTGTCTTGAAATTCTCTAAGTTAAAAAGGAGTATAAGGTTTGAACTCAGTCTCAAAATTCTCAAAAAAAATGAAGGAATGGAAGGATTTTTTTTCAAGTAAATCCAAGTAGGAAATAATCCTATAGAATTTGAATCCTTTAAATAACCTATAAAAATCCCTCGTTTCAAAGGAGCCCTTAAGTTTAGTGAGAAACGATGAAGGCACTCTGCTAGTTTTCTAGCCGTCCTCATATCTGGTGAAAACCTTGTGGCGACTGGTCTTGCTCTTCTATGATGAGATGTTGGAGCTTGCTTAAATTGGAGTATGTATCATGGAGTAATTCATATGATCGAAGTACGAGCTGTTCGATAGAACAATCTTGCTATGCTAGTGAAATGTGACCCGGGTAGCTATTTCTAATTATCCCATCCTTTATGAGTGTGTTTTGGTTAGAATTTAGTCCTGACCTCAGCTAGGATAGCTGCGCAAGTTTGATTACTTTTTAAAACCGTCAAATTAGGTAATTTGAACTTTGAAGAAAGAGGAAGACTACAGTGATTGATGCCAAAGGGCGAGGCAACATGGAGTAGTACACAATTGGGTGAGATTGCCAGTGATTTTCAACTTATACTAGGAAAGAAACTGATAATGTTTAAGGCTCATTTACACATACAACATAAGAATTCTATAGGAATTTCACATGAATTAGTTGAATTTCTAAGAAAACCCTCCAAAACTCCTTTGATGTAAAGAAGGCCTTGTACTTTTTAAGTACATCAGCAAGCCCATACCATTTACATCAGCAAGCCCTTACCGTTTGTTCCTTTGAAGTCTATTATTGTGTCTGGCCTAACTTGAAAAGGATTTTTGTACTGCAAAGTATGATTTTGAAGGCTAATAGGACTTCTAGTTCTAGAAGCCGAATAGGACTCGCATGCCAATGAAATGTCTAGTGGCAAATTCCTCTGTTTTATAGCGAGTAGTCTAGCGTCGAATTCTGAACCAACAATCCTCTAGTAGTTAGTACTACCTTAAAATAATTCCTCGGCATGAAATTCATCCAAAAAAACAAATATCTCTATTTTTTCACTCTATTCGAAGAATCGTCGTGTCGTTAAAAAAAAGTAGGACGTGTTCAAGAAAAGTCAAAAACCCAAAATGTTTATGGAAGAAAAAGAGAAAACCAAAAGAAAGTATTCTAGATTTGGTGCATGGAAAAATCATACTAGTAATCTAGATGCAGGGAATAGCATTGTGTTTGTGGAGAGAAATGTTTGTGAGGTAGAAGGGGCAGCATTGAGGAGAATCTTGTTCACATGGGAGATACAGGAATTCCTTGTGGGCACCTCACCTTGAGAGATTGGACCAAAGAATAAAGATGGAGAGGAAAGTGGGATGCTTACGCCTACCAGCCCTTGCTTTCTGCCATCTGTGGACTCATCTGCCTCTCTCACATGAATGGAGCAAAAGAAAATGTCATAGATTACACATGGTTTCCTTTGGTTTGGTCTTTGGACACATGTAACCTAAATATTTTATTGTCAGAAAAAATAAGTGAGCACTTTTGATTCTTTGTGTGATTCGTGGCAATAATTTCTTGGATGTATTGTAAGCTTGGATGTGTTCGCTGCCACCGCAAACAGGGAACATCTCCTTTTTTTTTTCATTCATTCTTTTTTATTATTAGAGTTGTATTGCAAAAAATAGATGCCGAGAATATGTTTTTCCTCTAATGATTTTTTTTCAAAAAAGTGGATGTTTCATTTCATTAGTAAGTACCTTTGTAGATAATAAATACTATGTGTGTCAAAAAAAAGTTTTTACTTTTATATATGAATCTAAACAAATGTATGTTCATAATCGTATCTAAAGGTAAACTTCAATCCTGTTTCTAAAATTCGAACCAAATTACTGTAAGTACTAACTACTAAAAGTATTAGATGGCACTTGAAAATACTGGTGGTATAATTCTATGTGATGAAGGGTTAACTTCACTTCATACGTATATGTCCACTTTCTTTTGCTTTGCCCTCAATTTTCCATGTGAGTTTCTTTTTTTTTTAAGAAAAAAGGTGCAGTCCAGCTTAGATGGATCGATCTACAGAACAGTGTGCATGTGATTGTAGTTGAGTCCCTCTTTCATACATGTGAGTGATTTTATTATCTGATGAAAAAAAAATCATGTGAGTATGACTACCTTTGTATCGAGTAATTTAAGCATAAAAACGGCCGTTCTAATCACAAAAGGGCAAACCAGAAAAAAAGTGCCATGGCTAGACATTTCGGATAGCCCATATTCTGGCCCTTCCTGAGAATGCTTGGAGAGGCAGAGAAAGCAACAGCTAAACAGGCCTGAAACTTTATTGGGCCAATAACATCCCCAAGGTCCATGTTCTGCCGCGAATTCTAGCCCATGCAGGATAAGAAAATACTATCCCCTCTTGTCAATAATATTTGACTGTGTACATTTTCCAATTTCTACTTTTTTTTATTTTTCAGATGCATGCTTTCTGAACAGCTAAACACTGTGTTTTTCCTTTAAACAAATTATATAATAAAATTGTTTTAAAAAATTATATTAATCTATTTTTAAGTTTCTTTAGCCAATACTTAATTAATCATATATTAATCCATTGTTTTGTTTTGAGTGTCGGGAGGAAATTTTGCTAGCACATCCTAACGAACACAGCCATGTTTAAAGCACTGTACTCACAACATCAAATATTATATTTTCTCGGTTCTATTAAGATACATAACTACTTGTATCTTGCCAATGGTACGTGATGTCCAACTACAGAGGCTGTAGAGTGCAGACTAGTAGATCACTTGAGGCGATAGAGAAGAACTACTTCAAATCATCAGTCGAATATGAAAATGGAGTAGTATTCGTGCAAAGCACAAAAGCAAACCATGATTTTGAGTAGAATAAACAACATGTAAGTAAGGGCATTCCCAACCTAATGACTATGATGGTGTCCATAGCATTAAATAAGTTGCCACCTAGGACAAAAAATAATGTGGCAAGTGAATAAACGAGGAAAGAGAAGAAAATCATGTCTTGCATGAGACATGGTTTCTACACAACATCTAAAACATCATGTGAGATAAGTAGCATTAAATTGAAGTATGGAATAGTGGTGTTTGCATTAAATAGCATTAAATTGAAGTATGGAATAGTGGTGTTTGCATTGAAAGAGTAGTGTACTAGTTTCTTGATGATGTGAAGTTTATGGTTGGGATTGCCCTAATGAATCCACCAAACAAGTCATGATTTCGAGTAGAATAAACAACATGTAAGTAATAAATCACCTCAACTAGTACCAATCTCCCCAAAAAAAATCAAAAGTCAAACACACATATAATTAGGTGAACAGCGATGTTACAAATTCGATCAAGGATTACAGCGCACTAGACAGGAGTAATCCAAAATCCACCTCAATTCTACACAGATCTCTCTCTCTCTCTTTTCAAAAGGATAAATTCTACACAGATCTTCTTAATTACTGCTCTAAACTACAAGCGACATTTCAATGTCTCCGCAAGAGAAAATCATTAACACCAAGAATCAAGCAACAATCTAGCTAGCTTGTTCTCTTCTCATGGCGATGGGGATGAGACGAGCAGTCTGGCGGCGGCGAGCTCGCGGGCGAGGTCGTGGACGCGGCACTGGTACTCCCGCGCGAGCTCCACCGCCTCCACCTCCGCCTCGCCCAGCTGCACGCACAGCCGCTCCTCGGCCTCCTCCGCCGTCTCCGCGCGCCGCCGCGCCGCCGCCACCTCCGCCCGCAGCGCCGCCACCTCCCTCTCCAGCTCCGCGTTCCGCCGCCGCAGCTCCTCCGCCTCATCCTTCGCCCCTCCCTTCTTCCCTCCGGCGGCGGCGATTCCGACGAACATTGCCGGCGCCATGGGCAGCTTAGCTAGCTTAGCTCGAGCTGGCAAGATCGAATTCGCGCCGCAGCTAATCAAATCAAATCAAAGCTTGTTCTTCGATTGGTTGATCTGGAAGAGGGGAGGCGGTCCGTGGTCGTATTTAAGGACGGGTTCAGGGACGGGAAGGCGTCCAGGTTCAATGAACCTGGGGGTGTGAGGACGGGAGAGGCGACGCATCAGCAGTGGCCCCACCACCCATCGTGTCCTGCTGGTGACTTGTGAGGTGAAGAAACTGTGAAGACACGGATGGGGTGAGGTCACGGTGATCGTGTGGACGACGTGGAATTTTTTTTTTCTTCTCTGGGGATTTGAATGGTTTGGAGCTTTGGACTCGGCAACTCGCCGGTGCTTTGCTTCCAAGCAATTCAAAAACAGCGACAAGCAGTGGTGGGTTCACAAAGCGGACGAAAACCGGTCGGTTTTCGCGGTTTTTCGATATAGCTCGAAATTAATTTTAGATTGGAATTTCGAAGGCAAAACGGTAAATTTGGTCGAAATTCAATCAAAATTTATCGAAAACCGGTTGAAATTTATCGAAAACCATGATACTGATGGGGCTCGAAATTTAGTGGTCAAGCGGTAATGTAAACCCTATAAGGCACAACCGCACAAGGAAAATGAAGGGAAGTACGATTGTATCTGGATGGAAGCCAATGTTGAAAGTTCGAAGTAACTTTCAATCGTAGGGAAAAACGATATCTGAACGTTTATATATTTCGGAATGGAAGAGTAATAGGGGTAGACTTTATCTTATGAGGAAAGAAAATTATTGGTAAAGAAAAAAAGCTGTAAGACCTATTCGGTTTAGAAGAAACTTATTCCGTGAATGAACACTTTTCTTGACATCAGGATCATTGACGCTAATCTTTCTACATCTCGACTCCTAGGGAAGCGAGGGTATTGGTGGTAGCATTGGTGGCACCGAGACATTAGACCTCGACGCCTTCTAAATAAATTTGTTTAGGGGTCAATTTATAAAATAAGTTTTTTTTAAAAAAAACTAAATGTAAAAAATAACTAGTAAGAATATATGTCCACACCAAGGACCGTATTTTTTTCACCTGATCCAAAGACATTTGTTTTTTCTTTAAACAAAAACTAAATGTTTCAAACTTGCAATTAAAGTGGTGTTAAAACTAAAATGAATTTCACAAAACTACGTATACTTAAATCAAACTATCGCAAAACCACAAATTTAAGGACGTGTATCACAATACTACATATTTAGCATCAAACTTTTCACAAAACTACATATTCAATGTATCGTATCACAAAAATAAAGATTTAGTTATGAAGTTATTAAAGAACTATAGAATTTAGAGTTTATATCCATAGCACTATTATGTATATAAGCTGTAGTTTTGAGATAAAATTGTTGTTAAATTTATAGTTTTGTGATAGGACACCTTACATCTATAGTTTCGTGATAGTTTCGTGATAAATTTGGCACTAAATCTGCACTTTTTTATATGCATCCTTATAAACATGTATTTTTTTTATCAATGTAGTTTTGTGAAATTTAATAACAAGAACCAAAACAAGACCCATGTACGGCCCAACTTGTGCCCCCGGCCTGCATTCTTTCTCCATTCGTAGCGTAGGCCGTGACGGCGTGTCGTCCGCGTGTGCGCGCGATATCTCTTCCAACTTCCAAAGGCGCACGCCGCGCCACGGCGAGCCACTCGCTCCGCCCACCACCACCACCCGCCGCCGCCGCCGCAAGGCTCGCCGGCGATCATGCTCTCCCTCCTCCTCCCGCCCGCGCGGCCGCGCGCCGCCGTCTCCCCCGACGTCACCGCCTCGGCGCCGCGCCGCCCGGCCGTCATCCTCCCAGTTGCGCGCGCGCCCTCTTCATCTCTTCTCTCCCTTCCCGTTCCCGCTCGTGGGTTCGTGTTTCTTCCATCCGTGACGAGGCGCGTGTCGTAGTGGCGCAGGGGCTCGGGAACAACACGGCGGACTACGCGCGGCTCGCGGCGGCGCTGCGGGACGACCACGGGGTGCCGGCCGTCGCCGTCGCGCGGGTGTCGAGGCCCGACTGGCTCCGCAACGCCGCCGGCCTCGTCGACCCCAGCTACTGGCGATGCAACCTCCGCCCGCGCCCCGTGCTTGACTGGTAAACGCGTACTCAGGCTTCTCTGCGTGTAGATTTATGCTTTGAGGCATTTCATCGAACACCTTGCCTACTTGCTTGTTTGCTTGCTATTTCAGGTACCTGAAAAGAGTCGATGAAGCTGTATCTGAGGCGAGAGAACTATCTCCTAGTATGTCTCCCACAGGCTTATTACTCGATGCATTGGTGATTTACTGTCTACTGATTAGTGCCCCAAGAACTGATGCATTGATGAACTGTTTCTACTCAATTAAATTGCCATGGCCCATGAGAAGGAGCATAATAGTGGGGTTTACCATCTAGAGTTCGGTTGCTAGGGACTAATTTTGCTGTTTATATTTTGTTTCAAATTGCCCCCTTTGCTTTCTTGGAGAAGAAAATATCCCCTTTGGCTATGTTGCTCGAAGAATCATCATGTTGAAAATAATGGAATAAAAATATAAATCTTCAAAATGATAACATTCATCATAAATCTGTTTGCAACTTGCAGATGAAGGCATATCATTGATAGGGCATTCAGCTGGGGGCTGGCTGGCGCGTGTGTACATGGAAGAATTTGATGCTTCAGACATAAGTTTACTGCTCACACTTGGCACTCCTCACTTGTATGGTTTCCTACCTGATTGTTTGACACTTAATTAATACCTGATTAATTCTTGTTACAGTTTGACAATTCTTGTAGTAAACATCTAGTACTCTTATGGTCTTACCTTATAGATGTGAAATTATGTTGTATTAATACACAGAACTTGTTGCTGTACTTGTGTGTTACTCCGTATCCCATAAGCTTGCTGCTATCACTTCATAATAACATTTTGAATATCAAAAGCAGGTTAGAATATCCAAATCATACGTTTCTTTGATGTGATCTTCTTTTGTCTTTTCCTTAGACCACCTCCAAAAGGTACTCCTGGGGTAATTGACCAAACTAGAGGACTACTGACCTATGTTGAGAAGAATTGTGCCCCAGCAGTTTACACTCCAGAACTAAAATATGTGTGCATTGCTGGAAGGTAAATTTCTTCAAGCTTGGGTTTCAGGTTCTGTTTAGTTGCTTCCGTATGTACCTTTACAGTCTTTACTATAGAAGTTTTTTGAGTTTTGCATTTCATTTTATCTCCTAGACCAATCAATACTACTGATACATTTCATTATGGATGTGTGGCAACACAAGTAGGGTAATGCCGCAGATATTGCTCATACTTCACTGCTAGCTGGCTAAAATTCTGCCTGAAGTTTAGTATTAACATATTTTTGGCTATTTTGATTAAACAATTGTTCTAAATAAACTAATGAACTGGGTATTAGCGACCAGCAAAATCAGTACCTGATAACAAAAAAAGAAAAATCATACCGTGTCAGTTTGTCTCCACAGGTACATTCAAGGTGCTCCTTTAACTGGGAACACCATCGCTACTACAGATGATATTCTCGCTGTGGATACTCCATCAGATATAGCTGAAGCAGTCATGGTCAGTACCAACGACAAATCTACTCAATCAGGCCCAACCTTGAGAGCCCGCTTCATTGGACAAGGCTACAAGCAGGTTCTGAATGTGAAACTGTGAAACATTCCTCCTTCCTCTGCTTTCTGAATGTGAGCATGAAAACAACACCCAAATTCTCAACCAGGTCTGTGGCCGTGCTGATGTGTGGGGAGACGGCGTCGTTCCCGAGGTGTCGGCGCATCTAGAAGGCGCACTGAACATAAGCTTCGACGGCGTGTACCACTCTCCTGTAGGTTCTGACGATGAGCAGAGGCCGTGGTATGGTTCACCGGCAATCCTCAAGCAGTGGGTACATCATCTCCTCAGTTGAACGGTTGATGGCTTTGATGCAGAGAAGCTGACGATCTGAAAGTTTGTAGACAGAAATGTATTGCATGCCGCCAGGTGAGGGTTAGGCCAGGGGAAAACTACACATTTTTCAGTGAATTAGAGGGTAGCCAATGCCATTCTATACACAACAGTACAACACACATGCGATTTTTCTTCTCCCAAAGAATTTGTAACAGTATAAATATTGCTCAATGTGCAGAGGTAATTCATCACATACATGATTGCAGGTTGTAATAGCTACACATACAGTATGATCTATAACAAACTTCATTCCAAAGAGGAATACCAACTCAGATCATTGAGAATGAATATTCACGTCTCAACCTAGCTGGCTCTTTGTTCCAAAACCTGTACATGCAAATAACCATCCAGTTTTCCTTTTGAGGATCAAATGGCCATTGAATTCTGAAGAAAGCAATACCACGAATGTGACAATTAACATGCCTGATCAATGAACACAAGAGCGCCTCAACCAAACCAGCATGCATACATACATATATGTAGTATATGCCTGGTACAAGATGCCAATGGCAGATTAAAAATTGAACCACATAAAACGCCTGGGATCACAGTAGTAGGACGCAATAAAATATTGGGAGTGCCTTTTTTTTTTACATGCATCACTGGGAACCCCGGCCTAGATGTTCAACGAAGTCTTTTAAGTCTTAACACAGCCACATGACCTAAAACCTAGTGGAACCTTGGGGCCTAACATGGATCACAAAAGAAGCATCCCAACACAAGTCCGAGCAGTAAGCACTAATACTTGCTCCATATGACTGGTTTAGTTAGCTTTAATGAAATGAGGGGACAGCAGCTTGGCAATCTCCATCATCCCGACCTTGTCCTTCCCGGCGAATAAGCTTTTAAGCTTATCGTCACAGTTAATCTCCCTTTTGTTTGCTGGGTTCTGCAAAACATCAAGCACATAATCTCATTTCAGGAACAAACTGCTTGCAGTGAAATCTACGGCACATGAAGAGTTCAGTTTAGTACAGCAAATGATTGTGACACAAGTGTAATCAAATTAATTTATATACCATGGTAAACTAGAAAGGCAGCTAAAGTAGCATATCTAAAACACGGCTAACACTGCTGCAGGTGCAGAGCAGACATTCAAGAACATGAGTTCAATCATGCCTATAACAATGTACAGTAAGTTAATAACAGATGATCAAAGAATAACTATAATGCACGTCACACTATATATAACCACACAACAGTGATCAGCATACATTCTGGACGCCGTGCTCCACATCGCTCTAACAGTCAAGTTACAACTTCAGTACAATAAAACTAATCCAAATCTGCCAAATAAAATGCACCGCTGTCAAAGTAGATTACTGCTCAGCAACCTTAGCACATGTAAAATGCTAGAAAAGAACTTTATTGGGTGCAATTTTGTTTTTATTCCCTTATTGACACCCCCCCAAATAGGGCAGCCTTTCCAATGTCCAACCACATTAACTAGATTATGGCAACACATCAAATATTTATTTCTGAAATAGAACCCAGTAGCTTACATACAGTGCTGCCGAAAATACATCAAAGCCTTGCGAAAAAACAGAGAAACTGACTAGAAACTTTACTGAAGTTTCATATACCACTTAATAGATCCAATAGATGGCACGTGCAAATCCTTTTACAGTAGCACAAATTTCACAAATGAAATTATAACCAATCCCACCAAAATGGGGCAAAACAGTATCTAACCACCACGAAGCTGTAACCAAATCCGCGGAAATGGGATTCCCCTCTCCTAAATCAATACTACTTGAACCAAACCCCACGAAATCGATACTTGAACCAAATCCGCCGAGATGGGATTCCCCCTCCCAAAACAATACTCGAACCAAAATGGGGGCAACAGTATGCAATAGATATTCCTTCGCTAGCGCAAGCGAGACTTGAACCCCATGGCTCCCAAACCCTAATCCAACAAAATACAAATCGCAACGCACAGCTAGTAGATCCCACAACGAGCGCTGAGAACAACGAGAGCCGCGGCTGCTGCAAAATGAACATGTGAACAGTGACGGGGAAGAGGCAGTAGGGCTGTCGGGGGCGCTCACCTGGAGGCCGTTGGCCTTGATGTGGTTCCAGATGAGCTTGACGGCGCCAGCACGGGACATCTCGGGGGCGCCGCCGGCGAACCTGCTGAGGGCGTCGGAGACCGGCACGGGCTGCATGATCCCTCGCTTCTCCTTCGCCTGCGCCGCCTCCGTCTTGGTCACCTTCGCCCCCGCCGCCGACGCCGACGCGGAAGCCGACGCGGGCCTCTTGCCCCCCGCCGCCGCCATGAGGAACCTGCACCCGCGGAAAACCCTAGCCGCCGCCGCCATGGGAGGGGAGGAGCCGCCGCTTCAAATTCGCGCTTCGAGGAGGAGGCGAGGCGAGGCGAGGGTTTTGGGGTTTGGGGGTTGTTTGGGTTGCAACTCCACTGAGGGAGCATTTTGTATTTGGAAAATTTTGGGGGCCAACCGATTTTTTCATCTAGGTCCTTTGTGTTTATTTTTCGTTACAAATATGTCCTTCATTGTCCCGCTGCGCAGTGGGGCCAGTGGCTTTTGTTGTGCATCCAGATATTCCAGGGGTATATTTATAATTTCGCCAACTACTAATGCGAAACCAACCAAGCAGGGTGAGACATATTACCCATAAAAAAAAGAGCATCTGTTTTTTTTATGGCCTCTTTGTGGCAACTTAAAATGTGGATCCCATGCTGGAAATTTAACTATTTGTCACTCTTGTGATATAGCAATTAACGATCTGCCACTCACTATCTATAACATGCGGACCCTCATGTGTCTATTAACGATCTGCCACTCACTATCTATAACACGTGGACCCTCATGTGTCTATGACATGTTGGCCTAGTGGCAAATCGTTAAGCACCACTCGTAAGAGTGGCAAATAGTTAAAAGCCCCTTACAAGGACACAGGGATTTTATAGGATTTTTTTTGTAGGAACTAGTTTAATTCTCGCGAAAATTCTCTAATCCAAAGGAGGGCTCTGGTTTGTCATTCCATGTGTAAACTACGTTTTATCTAAGAAAGAACTAAAAGTCTTGTAACAAAATACTGAGAGACTAGTAATTATCAGGAAGAGTGTGATGTCATATCCATATGGAGAGGAAGAAAAAAAATTGTGACATATATTCAACTGAATCAGATTCTTTGTCGTAGCAAAATCACAATGTTTGGGACGGCATTATCATTATTTTGATTGGTACAGTTTGACAACAATAACACATTTGGACTGAGCATCACACGTACTCAACTTTCTCTATTGTCACCAACTGAATGCTCAAAATTTTGTTAGCTTCTTCATCTTCTGTTCTTCAATGTTTAACAGTCTTTCTTTTCTTTCATGAGCTACTCGAAGATGGGTAGATCAAGAGGCTTATTCTTTGACCCATCTTGAGTGTCTCTTGAAGATGATGAGAGAGAGAGAGCAGAGAAGGCTTTTGTATCAGATTCTTTATCCATGTCCAGGAAGAACCGATGCCTATCAAGCAGGAGCAGACAGATCCATGAGCATCAGAGCCTAAACAAGATGCATGAAAACATGATATGGTATGTAGGAAAAGGCACTAACCATCTAGAGTCTGATGTCAATTCTGGGTGAAAAGCAGTAGCGAGGATGTTCCCTTGCCTTACAGCAACAATTACCCGATCTTTCGAGTACACTTCTTCCTGCCAAAGTATTGTATTGAACATCAGTGCACAGAAGATAAACAGAACTTTCAATTAGACTAGATTCTTCGCACAACACATCAATCGGCAGAACTTTCAATTCGACTAGATTCCTCCCACAACACATTAATCATCAATATACATTTGAACTAGACACGGCAGGGAAATCAGTAAAAACGTAAAACAGTCAAACTGACAGGGTATGGTCAGAAAAACACATCTAGTGCAGCATCCAGAAAAGGAGAAATATCACAGTACAAATCAGAAAGGAAGTGAGCATGTATATGCACTTGCAATCTAAGGAAATGTCCTTAATAACCAGGAGATGAATTTAGTTTGAGAATTTGTCCAAATACAATATGTTCAGTAATTCTCTTCTCATGTGTCATTCAATTGAAATGATCAAGAATTATCATGTTCGAGAATGATGATACTAGAAGAGCCGATGGGGGAGGGCATATGAGGACAGTAGGTGTAAATGTCCACATCAATTGACAGAGTTTATCTTGGAATTGTTTTCCCTAATAGTTATGATCAGACACCATAATTACTACAGATTCAAGGAGAACAGATAGTGAAAGGGCCACACAAACATGATACTAGCTAATGCTGCCTGAACAACAATGAACATGGCATGAACAGAAATAACTGTTCATCACGCCCATCCATAAATCCTGTCTAGTTTCAACAACAAAATTCCACTTTTACTGAAAGATAGCATATGCCATGATCATTTGCAGAAGAGTGTTGGAATTTTCAACAGGGGTAAAAGGCAAACCTCAACACCCTCTCCAGACGCTATTGTAATACTGGGTCTATCCGATGGAACAGGACAATCCGCCAGTACTTCAACATTTGAACCTACATCCAAGATAGCAGGTGCTCGTATAAATACGCCACGGCATGTATCGCTCCCTCCTTCCTTCTCTGCAAGCATTGGCACTGAAAGTTCCGTTTCAAAGCTTTGAAGCTGCAAGAGAGTGTATTCATCTCAAAAATAAAATAAAATTGAAGAGACAATAGAAATGATAGTGAAAACTGCTCCGGCCATCAAACAGAGAACACGATCCTCAAAGTTACCTGGCTCCCAAAAAAGTTCCGGTGGACAGTACAATCTAGTCCTCCAATAAGCTCCTGACCTCCGGATTTTTGGCCTGCAAATAACTTTCATCAATTGATTCCAAAGAAAGAAAGATTAAACCAATTGCTGTGGCTCACATACCTACTGCCTTGTTAGCTAGGAAGATGAGTCCAGCACAAGTTCCCCAGACAGGCCTTCCTGTACCAACAAATTCTCGAAGTGCAGGAAACTGCATGGTAGATGAAATAAATCGTTGCAACATTGTGCAACATTAAAATAAGGTAATAAAAAACTATGAGTTATAAAAAAGGTTAATATATAATTGTATTCATGCAGTACATGAAGACTCAATCTCCACGAAGTAGAAAATAATCAAGTACGACGGGTGTGAATCTGGTTCTTATGAAAAGGGGAATGTACTCGTCATCTCATCTACATGTGAAACTAATTGTACACTTATATGGATGTATACTAAATAATAGTATGTGACTAGTCACAGTTTCACAATACTCAGGGATGGCGGATACGGACGAAGGAATTTACCTTACCAGCAGCAGGTAGCAAGCACTGGTCTACTTCCACCAGCAAAGCTGTCAAGTCTACAGCTCATCATTCCTTATATATAAAATGTTGGACAAAGACATTCGCAGTTTCTAGTTATGGCCTTGTAAGCGAGGCTAAAAAACAACGGGAATCTATATCTGCAACAAGTTGCTCTGATGGAGCCATGGGCTACTAATATCCCATAACCTCATCTGTTTTTCTCTAGATTAGTTATTCTGTTCTGAAAGCTTAAAAGGGATGGATATGAACCATAAATTCGTATAATAGGATTAACAATAGTTCTCGAACGTGCAGCCCTTTCAGAATTGTATACTCACTAGTAGTCAGTAATCAACACAAACACATAGGAAGAAGAGAAGTCTAATTTGCCTTCCATATATTACTTTGGTTGATCTACCACCAACCCTCCTCCGTAGTAGACAGTAACAAAAGAAATGCACATATTTGGACTAGTTTTGACCAATGCAAGGGAGCAAATCAATATTTCATTTACATGGATTATTGTAGTGTTTCTTCAGTCTGATCAAAACTGGGCTAGTTGTTCGGAATGCAAAACACCGGGTCACTTTTGAGAACTTTCAACAATTGCGACAGTTTATTAGTACACATATCCCTTTCCTCTGTTTTGAGGAGAATCTAACCAAGAAGGAAATTATCACTAGTGCCCAATTTATAATCCTCTCACTGAACATCGATCGTGGAGATTCATGCATCGCATCAATTCCAATAATAAACAGATACAAATGATTTGCTAAAACGAAAGAACAGCAACCAAAAGAAGAATGGGGGGAGTTACCAGGTTGTGGTAGTTGGCGAGTTTGGCCATGGTGGTGCTCTCGCCGCCGGGGATGATGAGCGAGTCGAGCCCCTGCAGCTGCTCCGGCTTCCGCACCTCCACCCCCCTCACCCCGATCCTCCTCAGCGCTGCACCCCCCCGCATCCGCATCAATCAACAACCAACAAACCAAACCAAACCAAAATTCCCAAAAAAGAAGAAAAAAAACAGAAGCAGTGGGCGCATACATACCGGCCAAGTGCTCGTTGAAGGAGCCCTGCAGCGCGAGGACGCCGACGACCGCCATTGCTGCTGCTGCTGCTGCTGCTCCCCTCCTCTTCTCTCGCTCGCGTTGGGATGTGTGGCTTTGGCTTTGAATTGGGGGGTGGGAAGAAGTGGACGGGAGAAGCACGTTGCCGTGGCGGCGGCCGCCACACGCACGCGCCTCCACCTCCACCTCCACGGAGATAGGCTACCGCTGCTGCCACGAGGGAAAAAAAAAACAGTTACTGGCGGTCGGTGCTGCGCGATCCTGACCGTCCGATCGTAGCAGCAGGAGCAATCTCGAGCGTTGGTTGTTACTGCCGTGTGTGAAGAGTGGTGATACGGACCAACCGAAGGCTTTACCACTTCTTTGGGCCGCCAGGTCGTACTTGAGAATTATGGGCCATGGAAATGGAGGCCCACATACCACATTATCGGATATACTAAATTATTACAGTATACTCCGTCAAAAAAACCCATCTAAAATTAAAATGGGACATAATTTATTGTATTCAGATTCGTTGTACTAGATTATGTTTCGTCCTACTTTTAGATAAGGTCTTTTTGGAACGGAGGGAGTAGATAATCTACCTATCATTTTTCTTTGATAATCTACTACGAGAATGTTGTAAAAAATGCACGAATATGCACGTCAAGCATAATGAGATACTTCCTTCGTTTCACATTGTAAGTCATTCTAACATTTTCCACATTCATATTGATGTTAATGAATTTAGATAGATATGTATGTCTAGATTCATTAACATCAATATATTAGAAATACTAGAATACCTTACATTGTGAAACGGAGTGAGTATATAATACTGTGACATTTAATTTACAAAGCACACTGTAACAAAAAGGAAAGCACCAGTAGGATTAATTAATTATAATTAATTAATTACTACTACTGTAATTAATAGCAGGGTCAAAAGGGCTTCATTGAGCTTAAGCCGATCGATCTTAGCATTCACGCATGAGAGTTCAGTTCAGTTCACAGCTCGGTATGCCGGACCTCGTCGTCGTCGTCTTTGTCGTCGGGGTGGTAGTCGTCCGGCGACATGCCGCCGCAGGGGCTGGTCCTGAGGCAGTCGGCGGCGGGGCTGACGCGGCCGTCGTCGAAGCCCATGGCGCAGTTGCAGACGGTCTGCACCTCGCCGCCGCCGTCCTCGCGGCGCAGGTCGATGTCGCTGAGCACGATGCCGACGCAAGGCACGGCGTCGCTGCACGCCAGCCTGATCGCCTCCGCGCGCCTCGCCGTCCCGGTGATGTTCCGGAACACCACGCCGCTCACCCGCACGTTCGACGTCCGGTTCCGGCACGGCCGCGTCGCGTCGCAGTAGAACTGGTCGATGACGATGGGGTGGTCGACGCCGTCGACGCGCACGCCGGCGAACCGCACGTTCCGGACGTAGCCGGCGCCGCCCTGCCACGTCTTGATGCGGACGCCGTTCTGGGCGCGCGCGACGCGGGCGCCGTCGAGGGACACGCCGTCGACGGCGGCGAACGCGCCGCCCTGGCCGAGGCTGCCGATGCTGATGCCGTGGCCGGGGCCGCAGTCGATGTCCCGCATGCGGACGGCGAAGCTGCCGTTGGAGATGGAGATGCAGTCGTCGCCGGTGGCGATGCGGCAGGACTGGATGGTGACGGCGGTGGAGTCGGCGACGTGGATGCCGTCGGTGTTCGGGCTGTCCTCCGGCGAGTCGACGCGGACGCTGGCGAGGCGCACGTCGCGGGAGCGCGACACCGTCAGGTGCATCTGCTGCGCGTTCTGCAGGCGCAGGTTCCGCACGCTCACCCCCCTGCACGAGTCGATGGTCAAAGCCTGCACGTACATATGCTCCCCGGTCAACCGTTAATAAAAAATGCTTGTGTACTATTTCCTCCGTTTCACAATGTAAGTCACTCTAGCATTTTCCATATTTATATTGATGTTATAAATATGGAAAATGCTAGAGTGACTTACATTATGAAACAAAGGGAGTATTTTCAGGGGCTGTTCAGATTGATGGCATTTTAAACCATACCATTTTTTTTGTAAAGTTATCAAAAAATGTCTACGTTTAGTTTGTTGCCAAATTTGATAAATACATAAGAAAATCCTGTTAAAATTTTAACAATATTGCTATCTTGCCAAAATTTGATAAGGTTTATTTTAACTATAATCTGAACAGACCCCCAGTTTATATTATAAGGGTTTGTTTATATTTATGCCATTTCAAACCATACCATTTTTTTTATAGAGTTGTCAAATATATGCATACATTTAGTTTCTTACCAAGGTTTAGTAAATAGATAAGAAATCCTACCAAAAATTTTAGCTACAATCTGAACAAGCCCTAGGTTGTTTTGATTTTTTTTAAATGGATTTGTTAGAAAACTTTTGCAAGTTTTTTCCCTAAAACTTTCAAATTTGTAACCATCGGATCACCTCGAGATTTGTGCATGAAGGAAAAAAAATTGCTAGAAAAAATTCACACATGTCACGCATAAGATCCTAGTGCTTGCTAACCAAACCATAGTTAAATGTAAGTTTTATATAAGTTATATCGTAGTTAAAGTGTAGTTATAATTAAACTGCAATTAAAAAACTTGCGATAGTTTTTTTAGTACTCCATTTTTAAATTAGTATATTATGTTTAATTAAGTTTATATTACAACATAGACATTAAATATATTTTGATTTTATTCGTGTTGAAAATATTGTAATATTTTTTATGAACTTTGTAAAAGGTTAACTGGAAAAAAAAATCAAAACAACTTAAAGTATAAAACGAGGTGGAGTAATAACATTGTGATTAATTAAGTGATTAATCCTGCTTACCGTAGGTGCTCCTTTGCATGGCTGCGAGATGAAAGGGAGAGTAACTGACGGTCAGTAACAATCCAGTGATCAGTGAGCTAAGCTAGAGATAATTAGTGAATGTTTAATTACCTTGGAGCGGTCAATCTTGCAGGAGTTGGCCCACCATTTGGAGCCGGAGCCGTCGATGAGACCGCCGCCCTGGATGCGGGCGCCGGCGAGACCGGAGAAGAGGAGCCACAGCCGGGGGCTCGCCGGATCCCACTCCGACGGCTCATCTGGCGCCACGATAGTGCCCTGGATCTGCACAAAATCGAATCATCGATCACTGCACTCCTGGTGGTGTTTGAGATATTTTTTTAAGAAGGGATCTGCATCCAACCGATATATGCAACATTTTTAAAATTAGAAACTTAACCTATCGAACATGTAACTTAGCTTTCAAATAACCTAATATATACAACATTTTCTAAATTAGAAACTTAGCCCTCTAGTACGTTTGAGATATATTAAGATGAAAATAAAGTTAGAAGGCGCAAAATGAGATAATATTCTCTTGATTAATCGAGTTTTAATTATCACAAATTTGAAAGCCTGATATATTTAATATTTTAAAGCAGTTTATATATTTTTTTTTACGAAATATACCGTTTAAAAATTTGAAAAACGTGCTAATGAAATCCGATGTAAAATCTACATCTTAATCCGATGAACTTGCAGTGTACATGATGGATTCACCTGGATGATCATCCTGTTCTTGCAGGGCCCGATGAACCTGGCAGCGCCGACCTTGTAGCGGCGGCCGCCGGGGACCAAGAACACCGCGTTGTTCAGCGAGCATGCCTTCTTCCAAGCATTCAAGAACGCCTACAACACCAATATTTGATAATTACATGCATTGTTCAGAAAACTTAACAAGATAGAATGTCTGGTTAATTCAGAAGAAATCGACGGAATATGCAACTGGATTCATCAATAGATCATGTCGTTAGCACCGCACAAGTGTACATGGCTACTACTTGCAATGTGTTGAGTTAAGTGAAGCAATGTGGCTAAGCTAGATCTTGCGTTTCTTCTTGGCTATCTGAATCTCTCAACGAGATTTTCACGCCTTCATTAAGAAAGACGAGGATACATTTTTGCAATCTTTAAGGTTTGGAGGATGATTTGGTTAAGCTAAGCAACTGCATGCTCAGGTCAGATGCAAGGGGGAATCTACAATCTAGTGGCATCGCTATCGAATCTTCCTTTTTCTCAGTCTCGACAAAGAAAAATATATCATGTGGTTCGCGTCATCATCAGTTGATCACATATAAAGTGTGGCTTCCTGGATTTGTAAGGTCCAGGTCCCTGCTTTTCTTCCCAACATCCAAGTGGTTGCCCTTTTTATCCTCAAAGTAATTAAAGATATTAATTGCTCCATCTCTGATAGTACATTTAATATTTTTTTTCTGACTGACTCTGGTGCTGTTTGTTTAGAACAGTGATCTTTTCGACTAATACTAATATGGAACATAATATATACTCTGACACTTAGGTCCTATTTAGTTTCATGGACTATTGTTTAGCTCTCACCTTTTAGTGTTAAATTAACCCTCAAAGATCCAAACAGATAGGCTAATTTTGAGCTAATATGAATTAGCCCCGCTCAAAACATTAGCCCCTCCAAGGGGTGCTAATGGGGCTACTTTTGTGTGGGGACTATAAAAAAAACAGCTCTCTCTCTCCTTCTCTCTCCTCTCTTTCTACTATCTCTCTCCACCTTTTAGCCTTGAATTAATCCATGGATCCAAACATGTCATCCTAAGCTAATGTTTAACCTACCAATTCATGACTAAACATTAGCTCTTAAAATTAGCCCTGTGCTAATCTTTCAAACAAGGCCTTAGGCCAATAAAGGAAGCAATGTGAACTTTTTTTTGTTTTTTTGTCATGCGTCAAATTTGATTAACCACGCGCACTGAACTTTTTAGAGTAAAAAACATCCCAAAAACAAAGGTGCAATCTATCTACAGGGGAAAAAACGTATGCTTTTTGTGAAGAAACCTCGTGCAATGCGCCAATGCAAGCACACACCATCTAATCTGCATGGATGGATGAACAATGGCTAGCACAATGGAGAAAAGAGAAGATGGTGGCTGTTCGAATTCGTGCACACACCTCCGTGTCGTCGGAGCAGCCGTCCCCCGCCGCGCCGAAGCTGTCGACGTTCACCACGTTCCTCCCCGCCGGCGGCCGGCACTTGGCCGCCCACGCCATCACCTGCTCCGCCTCCTCCTCTTCTTCATCTTCATCTTCATCATCATCGTCGTCGTCGTCCCAATTCAGGTAATCTTCCTTAGCATCTGCTCCGCCTCTTCCGTTCCAAAGCTTCAAGAATTGCTCATGATCATGGTCATGGTCACCTCCGGCGCCGCCGTCATCGCCGCCGCCGCCGCTCGCCGTCTTCGCCATGGCCATGATCACCATCAACGCTACTAGCACCAAGAACAGCATTGTTCTTGGCCTTCTTCTTCTTCCTCCTACTGCCTCCATTGTTTCACTTCACACAATAATAACAGAAACAGTGTAGTATGCTCTCCTTGGCTTGGGATACAATACGAGGTGTAGCAAATAATTTTATAGGGGAAACAAGAAGAAGAAGAAACTGAAGAAGCAGGAGCAGGAGATGGAGGTGTGGTGTTCTATGCTCTTTTTGTTTTTGTTTTTTTTTGGGTGGACTTGAAGTGCAAGTGAATAATGGCGATGTGTGCGACAGGGCAAGGTGTAGTTTATGCTTTACTCATCCATATACCCTTTTTCCCTTGGCATTTTTTTCAATCGATGCATCATTTCTTCTTGTCCTTTTGGTAGCTATGTAATGTAAGTACAAATTAAGATGATGATGGTGATTAGATAATGCTTTGGCTTGAATGAACAATTTAGACAGAGGCTGACTCTACAAACGTTCTTGTTTAAGACGTGTAAAGGCAGCAGCTTTGGTTGAGAGATTTCATGTCAACTTCCCAGTTGCAAACTCTTCATGTTTGTTGCATGTGGTTATCATTTGTTATGGTTCTACCTACGTAGTATCATTATTATTTTCCAAGAACGGGAAAAAGATTAGAGGTCCCTTTACGCTAGCTTTCTGTAAATGTTGATGGCTTAATTACGTCTGATTCTAACCAAGGTATAAGCTGCACTGCACGAATGCCATCAGCAGTTCATGATTACCAATCGATGATTCAACCCCATCTTCCAACTTCAATTGGATCATAGGCAGCATTAATCCTCACTAGGCATCGTTTGGAACACAGGAAATTTTCTTACGATTTCCACAAGAATCAAAGAAAAAAATCCTCCTTTTTCCGCAGTTTTCGCATCATCATTCTCCATAGCATTGAGATGTGGCAAGCCACGTTCGATGTTCATGTGCCATTGCTCCAGGTGCCAGCAATCATGAACCTTACCTGAACGGCATGCATGATGCGTGCAACAGTATTCAGTACTATCTGGGTGCTGATTGGGGTGTAACTTCAGATGCACTCATCCTTTCCGTTTGCACAGAAGCCCCTGCTTTGCCTGCCCACTCCTCCTTAACATTGCATTGCGTGTGCTGTTGGCTGTTGCACATGCTCCTCACATTATTTCTGTTTCAGCAACTGCAATGCAACCCCATTAGCATATCATCTTTGATCCCTTTTGCTTCCGGAAACTAAAGGGGAAAAAGAAAATACTCATTCCTCAGTGCAACCAGGAAACATGGTTATCATTGTAATTGCCACTCCAACGTTGGCAGGATGATAACCTTTTTTCTGATATGGATGTGACATGTAACAGCTTCTAAAACTATATATATGGTTATCAAGAGACTCTGGAGGACCATAGCTTCCATAGTCCCAATCAACAAATCTACACACCATGTAAGAATGACAACTGGAAGGGGGGGAGGGGCAGAGAGATTTAGCTTTGTATATACGGCTTCAGTGTACCACTGTCTAAGCTGATGATTATAAGGCTGTTGCTAGCTATGACATGTTGATCTCAACGCTGCAACTCTTGGGGAAGCGGCAGACAGGGCACACGTCAGCATTTTTCTCGCAATCAGCACACAAGCAGAGGTGTCGACACGGCATCACCAGCACCGCTGCCTCCTTCATTCTGCACAACCTGCATGCTCCCAGCCCACCATCAGCCATGCTGTTGATGCCGAGGAGGCCTGACTGGAAGAAAACCCCAGGCACAGCATTGACATTCTGACTGGAAGCTGTGTTGTCCACTTCGCTGTCGCCAGAGCCTTCCCTGGTGAGATTGCTGCTATGGGCTACCATCTGCATGAGCTTGCTTTTCATGCTGTTAGCGACAGACTGGTTGTGCAGTGCTACCGACTGCCATGACTGGACTTCCAATGCAACCTGCCTGATCTGTTCGTTCAGTTCCTTGCTCTTCCTGTTCATGGCCTCCACCTCGAGTTCTTTCTCCTTCAGCTTCTTTCCTACTCCTCGTTCAAGGGATGCAAGAAATTCAACCATCTGCCTCTGCTTTACATCTTTCATGCACTTAACCAATTGTTCCACCTGTGGGAAAAGAGACACATGATGAGTGTAAAAAACTTCACAATTCTTGTAGTTTCACTTGGCACACAGCAGTAAGGGGAGAGCAGATAATAATGTGTTGCATTGGAAAAAAAAAACCTATAAAACTTTAATATGTGAATTCCAGGCTAAGTTACTTTACAGTTGATAGCAACTGATGACTGATGCAATTGCCACTTGAGCCTAACATATACAGATCACTCCACATAATAAAAATATTAAATTCTTGTGATCACACTTTATACAGTATTGTTGGATATTTACAGACTATGAGGAACTTGACGACATGGGAAAAACCAAGGTTGATGCATTCGGAATATATTTGGCAATGAGGTGGCCTTGAGATTGAATGTTTCCATGGAGAGAATATAGTCAAACAGCAAAACTACCAAATCACATTTGGATAAATCTGAGCCCCAGACTATTCCAAAATTACTGAATGGCATAGAGTTTCCACTACTGAGTAAACATTTTTCCATAAACAAGCACTAACAAACATCTCAAATTTGGTCAATGAATAAAGTAAGCATTGAATACCTGAAGTCCGAAATAACAGTTGAACTCTTTGTTTTCTTTGTCTAATTCAGCCATCACTTCATCAACAAAGGATGCCATGATAGGCAATGATGACATGTTACCACTGCCAGATGTGATTGAAGTGTGCTCATTGTTCTCATAGGACAGTCTTAGCCCAGTTGATACAGCACTTGGATTACCAATACGTGCTAACCGATCAAGATTTTCAACAGGAAAGTAGTTCAGGGACATCTGAAGATTGAGTTGCTTTTCATGACCAACATCGTTGTTTGTATTTCTTTCTTGATTCATAGCAGAGAGGTGGTTGTTTGCAATGTAGTTATAATAACCAGTACTTCCTACCGCAGGAACTGCATAGATGATTAAATACATATAAATTAGTTTATTTTGAGCGTAACAGCTGAAAGATAAAAAATAGGTGACATGGCAAGAATACAGCAGTACACCACAGGCCAAACTACTACAATAGGAACTACAGATGCCTCCGTGTATAACGGAAAAAACTAGAGAGCAAGGACACAAAGTGATAAAGCAAAACTGCCAGTCCCACCTATCAACGAAACGTGTAAAGAGAAAAAAAAGATGCAACAAGAGAATTATTTTCACTGTCAAATGAGACTTAACCATCATCCCTGTTGGACCAAATGTGGTTCCTCTAGGCACCGCACACACCATCATAGGATGCTGCACAAAAGTAATCAAATCCAAACACAACCTAATACTACCTCCATCGCTAAATATATTACATTGGTTAGTTCAAAAATGAACTAATAACCAACGTCATATAAAAGGAACAGAGGGAGTAGTTTGGTATTTACATTATGGTGGATGATCTCTACTTATCCTTTAGGATGCTTTAGAATTCATGAGACACTAGTTGGAGGGTGAGAGCATGAAAGCACCTCTCCACAATTTAACCTACTGGGTAGTGAATTGGGACAAGATGACACGGTGAGGGTTAATTATCGCTGCAAATCTTAATGTGCTAATATCCTACAGTGAGAATCTGCAAGCAACATCTTAAGGGCACATACAAGTATAACACAGTTTAACATGTCAACAAGCTAGATCAATAAATCTCACATTAGAGCCATCATTTTTCTTTTATCCTAATACAAGACAAGGAAATGAACGTGCAGATTCCATCTGGCACATTATTGAGTAGAGAACCAAAATATCTACCCAGCAATGCTGGCTTAGTGCTCAACAACTCAAGCAGTGAATTCAATTGCACTAAATCTGAACCACATATGCTTAAAGACACACAAGCGATTGCCTCCGTGAAGCTAACCAACTAGATCATCCTACCAAAGCGCACCAAGCAAATGCAAGACAGTAATCAGCGCTCGCATCAACAGATTCATCTCACCTGCGGCGCTCCCGAAGAGCTGCAGCTGCAGCGGCGAGGCCTTGGCATCAAACACGAACTGGCTCTCCTTGGGAATGGAGGCGTAGGGGAAGGAACCACCCCAGTGGCCACTCCCGAACATCTCCCCGTCCATCCTGCTCCTCTCCTGCCAACAACACGCAGAACAAAACACAGCACAAATCACGCGAATCCCCTCCAAAATAATCCGTGCCAGGAAGAACAAGGACCCGACGGATTACCCCCGAGACGACGGCGACGCGATCTCTCCTCGATCAGCGACGAACCCGATCCGATCCTGCGAAACCGTAACCTCGTCAATGCGATGGGGGAAACCAGAGACAGGGGTCAAACCACGCGGCGCGGCTGCGGGAGAATCGCGGAAGGGAAGCTGACCGGAGACTCCGCCGACTCGACGCGCCGCCGCCGCCGCCGCCGCAGAAACCGCCGGCGGTTTAGGGTTGGGGAATCCGCGAGAGGAGCGGCGGCGTTGGGAAATCCGCGATTTATTGGTATTTTTTTTCCTTTTTTTTATTTTTATTTCACCCTTTCGCTTTGCTCTCTGCTTGGTTGGTTTAAAAAGAAAGAAAGAAACCGCAAGTGAAGAAAAGGAAGAAGGTGTGCCAGAGTGTGAGGAGACGGATGGGCGGGCCTTGATTGTTGGCTCGGCCCATTTAGTTTCGGTCCATCTGTGTGTCACTACGGCCTGTTTTAGGTTCAAGGTGGGCCCATGCATCAGCCACCAAATCAGCCCAGGAAAATATACGTGTGGCCCATGAACTAAACCAAACAAGTAGTCATCATACTACTTCTCCTAGGCAGGGTTACAATCTCGATTAGTTAGCGAATTTTGAGCCCCATCAACACATTTTGAACCATTTCTACAATCTCGATTAATTTCGAAAATTCCAGCCGCTCGGAATTCGTTGAGATTGTGAACTCTGCTTTTATGTAATTACTTTATTTAGAATTACACAGTACAACGCAAACACTCACAACGCATTTGCACTCACCCTTATAAACACACGCACGCAAACCCTACCCCTATGAGCATATTCGAAGATTGGGCCTCGCTGTCGACGGGTACGTCGCCTACCACCGAAAGCAACACCGTTAAATCTTGGAAAATTTGCTCCCATAAGGAGTCAAACCCAGGACCTCAGGTGCTACTGAGGCTCTTATAACCTCTAGGCTGCAGGGCCTTTCGCCTATGTAACCAATTTTGTTCCTCTGGAAAAAAAAGCAAAGCAATCTTCTTATGCTAATTAAGGGCCTGTTTGGGGAGTGTAAGATTATGAGAAGCAGATGGTTGGTAGCCAGCTTCTGAGAATCTGGAAAAGTTAGATTTCCCAACTTATGGCTTCTATTTTATTTTCTAGATTCTACAACTACAGTTTCTTAGAATCTAGACCAAAAGCTGAACTGTTTAGGAGAATTTCTAATTCTAGGAGAAGCTGCTGCAGTTAGAAACTCCCCCCAACAAGCCATAATCACAGGTCTCCATCTCTTTAAGTAGGTGTAAGGAGACGTAATCTACATATAGTGTGTGTGCGTGTTCGTTTTCATATAAATCGCGAAAAAAAATTCGCCGGGCCGGTTTTGCCGGCCAAACTTTGTATTAAGAAGAAGAAAAATTCAAAGTCGGTATAGGAAAAAGAAAAAATGACAAAAAAAATAACCATAGATTAATAAACCTCCATGCATTTACTTACAAGAATTACTTAGACATGGCTTGTTAGTGACGCCTCTGAAGCCTGATCAAAAGTGTACTTGTATTAAGCTGGTATATTAGCACATTGGTACGTATTATTCTACCTTTGGGGGTAGGATTAAAAAAGGTGCCCTCCACTGCACTGCAGCTGCATCTTGGGCAATGGAAGAAAGTAACTTTGGCAAAAGATCACTGCAAGCCTGCGATGCTGCCGTGTTGTTTGCTTGCTGTGTGTGACATGTGCCGCAAGCAGCAAAAGAATGGACATTTTGGTGGCCACTGCTGCTGACACTCATGAAAAAAAAAAGATCAGTGAGAGAGAGAAGAAGAGGAAGAAAATTACCTGCATTTACAGAGAGAGAAAAAAAAGAGATCAGCTTTTGAACACACAAGGAACAATCCAAATGATTCGCTTAACTGTCCTTGGAGATGAGCTTGATGAGGGGGGCCCCAAATGAGTTTAGTGTTTACTACTATTTGGTTAATCAGGTCAGGATTGTGTTCTTCTTTGGGGCTAGTAATTAAGTAGTGTAGGATTTGATGATTCTCATGGCCCATGTAGAACTTTTCCATGTCTGCTTTATGTCCCATGAAGTTTGACCTCGGTTTGTGTATTGTTCTGCTTGCTAGTACTACTAGCTTCAAAATCTTGGAGAAATTTCACTGTTTGGGATTCAGCGCCTAGTCTGAATTCTCCTCAAACATACTTGAGTATCTTGGAGATCAATCTGGCCTACTTAGCATAATAGCATTCTCATTTTGAAGTCGAACCATCTCTCTGAAAATCTCTGAAGATGTAACTGGCTAACTGCAAGTCTGCAATCTAGTCATATCTGAACATGAAGCAGCAGCAATTAACAAACTGCTCATAGAAAATGACCTGCATAACAATTAACACAAACTAGTTAGTACAAACACTAGCACACAAAGAGCTAGCTGATGATCTGATCATGTTATTTTAATCCGGGCCCAAGGACCAGCTTTGCTGAAAATTCTTGGACAGCACGCAGTGCAGGAGTAATTAAACTGCATGCAATGCAATGTAATGGCGATGCTTTTCCCTTGTCCTGAAGAAAAAGGCAACGTAGAAATGAAATCGCAAGTGTTGTAGAGTGCTCCCCACATCGATCGATCTGCTCTGATTACGAGAGATTGCTAGATGGGCTCAAACCTCAAATTGCCACATCTGTGTCCTACTTCACTTTGCCTACTACTCCTGCAACACTGCAACTAGCACTCCACTCCACTACACTACACTACACTAGGAGTGGTACTGTAGTACAACATTCCAAGCAAATCGAAATGCAGAGATTGTAGGAGAAAGGATTCTTGCCCTGATCGATGCAAGTTCAGAAAATGTAGTGCTCCATGCAGAATTATTTTGTCAGATCAGTCAAAAGATGTGCAAATTCGGCTATGCATGAGTAGTTCAGAAGAATGCCAATCTCACGAGATAAGTAAGCAGCATACTAATCACTGATCAGCCAAGATAAGTGAGGAGAATGACTGAAACAGCTTTCCTTTGCAGTAGCAGCAATCTGCATGAATATTGCAAATTCAAGACTTGATGCCTTCCTTTGCTGATCAGACAAGGAGAACGGCCAAGAAACGTTGTTTGGACTACGCCCATGGCAGATTGGCAGATGGAAAATTTATGCATCTGCAAATCCTGCAATTTCTGCATACACTGTAAATGTAATTCACGAGCTTCTGATGAATTGATGCCTGCATTCCATTTCATCCAGCTTGGCATATGCAGGACTGCGTGGTTCAGAGATCTTGCATTGCACAGAACCCGGGAAGGCTGCATCATCGCGTCTATAGCTAATACTAGAAATCAAGGAACGGAGTGCAGATAGAAGCAAGCAGAAACGGACAGAGAAAACGCATGCACAGCCAAAGCGTATTCCTCTTGGTCTGCTGCTACGACCACTGCTTGGTCTGCTGCTAGTGCAAAGCTCTTCTGCACCGTCTCCCACGCGAATTCCTTCCTCTCTCACCCTCCCTTTGGTCCTCTCCATGCATCTCCATGCCCTGCAACCATTTGTCTCTACCTCGTCGAATCTCTCGGACCCAGCAGCCACTCACCACTCACTGCAGTGAAACGCACTGCTATCTGCTTCTCTTCCTCTCCTGCATGCGTGCTTGCAGCTACACTTGAGAAACTGGTGAGTGAGCTCGAAATTCTGACAAGTATATAGTGAGAAGATAGTTGGGGAGAATCTTAAAAAATAGGTTTGTTCGTTCCTAACTTCTATTTCATTTTATGTATTCTATAACTACATGTTCTCAAGATCTGGGGAAGAATTTACTCCCTCTGTTCCAAAATAACTCCTAGTATATATAATGAATCTGAGTGGAGAGTTATCTAGATTCATTGTATTAGGATAATCACACCTAGGTTGAACTTTTTTTGGACGGAGGGAGTATATCATTTAGGGTCTGTTTAGTTCCCAAACAAAATTTTTCACGTTCTCACATCGAATGTTTGGACACATACATGGAGTATTAGATGTAGACAAAAAAAATCAAATGCACAGTTCGCCAGGAAATTGCGAGACGAATCTTTTAAACCTAATCGCGCCATGATTTGACCATGTGGTGCTACAGTAAACATTTGCTAATGATAGATTAATTAGGCTTAATAAATTTGTCTCGCAGTTTCTTGACGGAATATGTAATTTGTTTTATTATTAGACTATGTTTAATACTTTAAATGCGTGTCCGTATATCCGATGTGATATACAGGGGCAAAAAATTTTACCAATTAAATAAACCCTTAGTTCAGCTAAAGATTTTGAGAAGTTGTAGCTATCATAAACACCCCGAAACCGGGTTTTCATTATTGCATATGCTGCTTGTTTGCTTCCATTGGGAGAAGAGAAGGCTTCCCATTTCGCAAGTGAAGTGGAGCACTCATGCTAGAGTACAATGTGCTACAGTGCCAGTCAGCTTCCTCCTTTCTTGGGCTTCGCCATCGCCATGCTTGAGATAGCGAGGCTGATGCTTCAAGAAAAATTTGCATCCTGGGAGTTTGCGTCGCAATCTTTCATGCGTGCCGGCAAATCGCGAGGCCAAATCATGCCCCTTTTTACCGCACAAATGTAGAGTTGCTTGTGATCTTGTCTTTACCAAGGGATAGATATGACTTGTACTAAGGTAGGTTTTGGCCCATGATAATGCCAGTTTTGTGTGTGCAAACCACAGTGTCAAAACTCAAAAAGGTTGCTACCTGCTTGATGTGATGAGTGCTTGGGATCAAGTTACAGTATAGTGTGATCAGCTACAGGATCGATCTAGAAAGATGAGATGTGGGAATAGTAATTTATACTGTTTCTTTCACTGTCATTTCATATGTTTAAACTGCATCCAAATTGTTCTCTCCTTGTCAGCTGATTCGATTCCTCATCAGTGAAATGACCACAATATCCTCCCCCGACATCTCGTATGCTGATTAATTCCCAGAATTAACACCACTAATTGATCCAGGAACTGCATGGCATGCCAAGGTAATTATTAAATTAAACAAGCTGATCAGCTATTCAGCATCTGCATGAAAAAGTGTTTCTTGCAAAGATATATGCAGTACAAAAGAGAGGGCATAGATACTTTTAAGGATGGAATAAGCTAAAGCAAACGACCCAAGTAAGATTATTCGATCGATCAACTAGCTAACGCTCTTACAGTTTCTTTCAACTGATGTGTCACTCTTGCTGCACATGGTAAAGTAGCTGATCAGTTGCACACTCTGTCTCACTAACTTTAGGGATTCTTCCAGATCACCTCTCTTCATTCTACTGATCATCAGTTCATCACCTCTGCATGCAAGGAAGGACCAGCAGAAGCATATGTACACTT